AGGCAAATACTTTTGTTGTGTTTATCATAAATTCAGGAAAAAATTTTAAAGTTTATATATAATTTTATTTTAAATTATTCTTTAATAAAGTATTATAATAAAATTACTTATTTTTTGTATTTTAGTTTTTTGGAATTTGTTAAATTTATACAATGATGAAATTACTCGTAAGTAGTATTAATAATAATTCTGTACTATCATATTTGTTTAATACTTTTAATAAATTTTATTAAATTTAAATTAAATTAAATTTTTAATATAGATTTTAAGCGTATTTTTTGTGTACACTTTTGCCGCGATTGACGACAAAAGTGGAGACAATATAAGAAAATCTGATAAATTGATTGCCGATGACATCGAAGCCATTCCCACGTCCTATGACTTCAAGTACTCGACGGGCAGTGAAGGACCGGCTCAGCTGTTCCGTGAGGAGCACCGGGACCACGACGGCACTGTCCGCGGAAAGTATGGCTATATTGACCCCAACGGCAAACTCAGGTATTATTTCAAAACTAAACTTATTTTAGCATTCACCTTTATTAGTTGTGAAACTTACATTATTATTTGTAAAATTCGATGTACTAGTAAGTTAGTAGTTATGATTTCAAATAATTTTAAGGTTTTTTTTATAAGTTATAATTTATAAAGTAGTTTTTAATAATATTTTTATAAAGTAGTTTGAATAAAATTCTTGTTTTATTAGTTTTGAAAAAATTATTTATTAAAAATAATTACTATGAATAACTTATTTACATTATCTTTCAATATAACAAGTAATACTAAATTATATTTACTTTTTAATTATAAATAAATTGAATTACATTTTAATGATAATGAAATTAATAACAGCTGGGTAAATTAATATATTTAATTTCTTAACCTTAACATTGATCTTACATTTATAAATGCAATTTCTATCATATTATTGATACCATACTATGAGTGAGGGAACTAATAAACATAAATCCTATGTCAGAGTCGTTGAATACACTGCCGGTGCGAATGGGTATCAGGTTTCGGGTGATATCGGACCCGACTCTGAGGTACAAAACGAGGCACAACAGCAATACAGAAG